GGGAGCCGGGGGCGGGGCCCGGGAGGACCTTTTCAGGTGTTTCCTTCCTCTTTAGCCTGTTCACTCATGACTTACTCCTTTATTAATTTACTGATTACTTACATAGTTTTTCACACAGCTTTTACCTGTGCATACATGGTTTCAGGCCCTGTGCTGGGTACTGGGGATTAACACGTCAATTGGAAACTTGGTTTCTCTCCTGGAAAAACTTCATATCTAGTTGGGGGTATAGATACTTAAACACACAATACAATATAGTGGGATAAATATTATGATAAAAGAGTGGGAGCATAGACGGGTGCACCTAATTTTGGGGGTGAGTCAGGAAGACATCACAGAGAGGTGACACCTGAGTTGAATTTTCAAGCCCACATAGAGGTTTGCCTGGTGGAATGCAGGGAAGCCCATGCAAGAAAGAGAGATGTGAAAGTGCCTGACCCACTCAGGAAGCAGTAAAATGTTCCTTGTGGCCAGGGCAGAGGACATGTGAAGGGACTGAGGACAGAGAAAATGGATTAGGGTTTGACAGGATATGAGTATGGGGAGAAGGCTGGGTAGGAGTATGATGGACTTTAAAAGCCATGCAAGGCATTTAGGCATCTGGAGCCAATGGAAGGATTTAAGCAGGGGAATGAAGGTAATGAGACCTAAACAAGGCTGGTGACTAATTTTTTGGGATTACAGACCTGTTTTCCAAAGCTAAAGAAAGCCATTCCCAGAAAAATGCTCAGATGTCAGTATTCACACGTGTGCACACATATTACACACACATTTTGCATACAGTTTCAGGGGTACAGAGTCCTCTGAATCTTGAACTCTAGATAAGGATTTTTACTTAATCTAATGTCACTCATTCTTTATCAAAGATTTGAGGAAGATTCAGACTGCTGAGGTTGGAGGAAGAGATACCCCCATCATTCAGTTTTAAAACTTTATTTTATAGAAGAGGAAGCTGAGGCCTAGAAAGGGGGAGTAACCAACCCGAAACTGGTGAAGGAGAAAAAGGAGTGCCTCTAGTAGGCCAAATCTCTGGTATGCTAAGCCATGACTCTACCACCCTAAGCCAGGAATCTACAACCCAGGAGCTGACTTAGAGGACACAGGCCTTTAACTGTCTAGGAGACACCAAAGTCAGGTTCTCCCAATTACTTCCAGAGCCAGATCTCCACTGAGAAAAAAAGGGTAGCATTTTACCTGTGATTTATACTAGATGACCATAGTAGCTACAGCTTAGGATGGGAACATTTCCCTTCCTCTCTCAGTCTTAGTTTTCTCAGCTATAACCATCTACAACATTTCTAAAGCACCTAGTATGTGCCAAGCACTTGACATGCATCGCCTCCCTGAATCCTCTCAATGAGGTAGGTGCTATTTGTTATCTCCATTTTAAAGATGAGGACTTTTCAGGCACAGAGCTTAAACAGTGTGTCTAAGGTCACACATTTGGCAACTGGCAGAGCTTGTCTTTAAATTGAGGTAGTGTCTAACTCCAGATTTGAACACCCCCATATGACTGGCCCCATTGGGGGAGAGGTGCAGATGACATAGTCTGAAGTATTAGAAAAGTCTTTTAACATTCAAAAGATATTTTCTTAAGTGCTTCCTTTTCCCTTAGTGAAAAGCTGAATTGATAGTTACTGATCAAAAACCTCACTGCATACACAGGTAGAGACTCCAACAGAATACTGGTGAGAGGGTAGGCTGGAAAGGTTCTGGATCTAAGGCTCTGGAGAGGGGAGGAGGTGGAGGAGGTGGAGCTCTGGGGGAGGCTTGCTAGGAGACAAGGTTGGGGATGATGTGGGATCCAGGAGAGAGGCCAGGATAGAGAGGCTCCACAGAGGCAGGAAGGACACTGCCTGGAAGACTAGGTTGCATGAAGGAGAGTGCCCTAGAAAAGGGGGACATCAACAAATTGAGTGTGAATAGGGGGAGAGGAAAGAACTACAAGGTGTGAGGCTCTGGAGAGATCTGGGGTAGAGATAGGGATTTTGGAATCACTAGCAAAGACATTGAGATCACCTGGAAGACCACAGATGAGAAAAAGTGAGTCCAGGGCCAAAGAACACTGGCCTTTAAAGAAAAGGTGAGAGGTAGAAGTGTCTGGGAAGGAGGCTAGACTGGGGGGCACTGGGTGACCATGATGGCAGAGAACCCATGAAGGCAGTGCTCAGTAGTGACAAATACTCCTGAGAGGCCCAACAGGCTGGTCCCCTGGGAGGGCAGCCTATCTCTGGGGTAGGGGCTCCCGTCTCCCTATTCTGGGCTCTTTCATCTTTCAGTCTGCCAACTGACTTCAAGAAAGATTCCAAACTTCTGACTGTAGTACATGGAGGCCATTGGTGACCACAGAGTGTTTCCATTGACAGGTAGGACCTGGAGCAGGTATACCTGTGTTCGTGAAGGTCAGGAATGCAATCTAGGAGTAGATAGCTCTTTTAAGAGCAATCTTTGTGTCCCACACATTGTGGGGCAGGGGTGGAGGGGGCAGTAGAGAGAATAAACCCACTGTGTGTAATGATGCTACTTACATAAGTTTGCCCATGGCTATGTGTGCCTGGAAGAACACTAGGCAACATGGTAACATTGAAGGGGCAGGAGAGCGGGTGATTTTCACTTTCTTTGTACTTTTCCTGTATCATTTCAGTGTGTCCCAAGAATAGTTTCCACTTTTATAACCTGAAAAGGAAAACTATATTTGGGGGAAAAAATAACGAGCTCTGATCATGAAAAGAAGCAAAATAGGGCAGCAGCAAGAGGGAGGATGGGAAACATGGACTTTTAATTTTTAGGCAGGACAGTCAATGTGCTGTGTCTTAAGGCTGCAGCAGGATGTCCTCCAGGAAGCTAGAAAGGAGGGAAACAGGATTGGCCACCTGCAAAATGAACTTTAAACCAATATACATAGCAAAGGATCAGAAACACCAGCAGAAGGGGGCTGCTTAAATAACCCTGGAATGCTAGGTAGAAAGACTGAGGAAGACTCACAGATATATTGTTAAGTAAAAAGGGTAAGAAAGGTGAAAAAAGGAACTTTCAGAGCAGAGAGTAAAGTAAAACATGCACCTATTTGTGTGTGTGGGGCGGGGGCTATATATATATTTATACACAAATAGTCTTGTAGGCACAGAAAATTTCTGGGAGGAAACCTAAGATGCTCCAAGAAGGTAGGGGATGAGCTGAAGATTTTTATTTACTATGTACTCACGCTATTTTTTCTATTAAAAAAATCTGAGAATGCATACACACAGTGGGTTAGGTTTGCCTTGCATAAAGGCATGAAGTCTAGGGGTAAGTGGGAGCTGAAACCTTCCTGGCTGGGGCTCTTTGTCCTAAATCATCTGCCCGTAGAGGGAGCCTTTTTTTTTTTTAATGTCTCAAAGGCTGGAGCTTGTATAGCCCTCAGGCCTTCCCAAGCAACCAAGAATGAATGACATGGCCCAAGAAGGAATGTGGCTGTTAGCCATGGAATGGGGAGTGGTGGTGGCAGAGAAGCTTAGATTTTTTTTTTTAAGTCCTTAAACCTTACTCTATGTGTCAGGGTTTACTGCTTTCAAAGGCTTCAATCCTGGAACCGGCCCCCAGCTCTCTCTGGAGCAAGAACAGATCAAAGTAAACCTGGGAAAAGGCCAGGCACTGGGACTCAGTGCCACTGTTAATGGGCTCGAGCACTTTTTGATGCTTTGCTTGTGAAGGCAGAATTTTGTTGCTCAGTCAGTGCCTCAGCTAATTGGCCTCCATCAGACGTTATGGAGGGAGTGTCTGATTAGAAGTCACAGCTGCTTTGCTCATTATTTCTATTTAATAGCACCTGGTATCTCTGGGCGATGGTGCCCGCTCAGGACCCAGGTGTGACCTACACAGCCAACAAAAGTGCAGTGGCTTTGCAGCCCCTAGGAATGAAGCTGACTTCCCAAAAAGCATCATCTTATGTAAGTCCTGGCCCCGTGGAACACGTTTTAAACTAGCTCATCCTTGCTAATTCCCTTGCTACAAATCTGAAATGAGGTGCACTCAGTGAATTAATCTGAAAAGTTTGTTTTTACACTAAACAATCACACTGGACCAGTACCCCCCACCCCCAGATAGTGTTCTAGTTATAAATTAATACTCTGGCACTCTGGTTTGGGATCTAGAGTTGCTCAAGAGAAGGGACCAATTATAGCGTTTGGACAAGCCAGGCTTTTTAGCCTAAAGGTTGAGGGTGAGAGGCCCCTTGGGAGACACAGTTTTATCTTTCTGGTAGTGTGAACGTAAG